AATTTATGTGAGATACATCTTTTTTCACAATTGTAGCTGTTCATAAGTTCACTATTCTTTGACACTCTTCAGCTACAGCTTGCGAGGTCAATTTTGAGTCCTGTCCAAGCATAGTCAAAATTTTAGAACAGATTTCTGCTTCCCTATTTGCTGTCAACCCTTGTATGAAGGTCAAGGTATTAGTTCACTTATCTGTTTATATGAAGGTCAACGTGTTCACTTATCTATCTATATTTCTGAGATGAGGTATTATGTACAGTATTTACATTATCTGGACTATTGTCCGAATCTTTGTTGCCATATTCATTACAACATTTCAGCAGTTGTATGCTCCGGCCTTCTTTAATAAGCAAAATAATTTGTATTTCCAACAGAATCTAAATTGATGTGAATTTTTTATGATTATCAGTAAAAATTAAAATCGTCCCTATTGACAAATATGTCAACACAATGTAATAGAGAATCGGTTTGGTGCAATAAGAGACTCCAAGTTGGTTGTATGTGGTGCTGTAGCACCAGGAATTGCGTCCCTTTCCACAATGAGCTGTTGAGAGAAGACCTGAGAGTAGGTGATGCAGACTATTTGCATATGAACGATACTGGGCAGCATGCATCTTGGACTGGGAGAGTTATATAATACTAGTGTTTTTCTCAGGAGATGCGCTCTCAATGTGATTTTTACATTGGGTTTTTTCTAGTCCAGCTAAGTTTTGCCTGACAAAGATTTTGAAGGACTGTCAATTGATGTTAAATTAATCATTTTATTTGGCTTTTTTCTTTCTGTTATTTATGAAACCTTCTGAACTTTTGATTTTCAGTTTATTGCTTTGATTTTTCCTTTTTGTTTTGTGTCTCCTTTTTTGTTAGCCAAACTTAAGTTTCTTTTGTGTATTTTTTGACATTTATTTCTTTTGAGTTGTTTTAGTTAAGTTTCCACAACTAATAGGTTGCAAGACTTTATTCAGTTCCAGAATAAAACTCTGGAAATCACGCAGGCAAACTTTTTCATTTATTTGACCATGTTAGGACTAGGCTGGTCCTATCATGGTGGAGACGGTGAATATAGAAGAAACATCACAGAAAAAAAAATAATAAAAAAATTGGCAGACCTCAAAAGGATGCAAGTTATTGTAAAGCCCTAAAGGAAAAATACGAGGCCTATGCTAAAGGAAATGTGTTACTCACCATTCCAGAAGCAATTGATGCAGTAAAGACTAGGACGATCTCTCTGCTGACAACTGACATGGGAACACAAAGGTTGATTAGTGTCAGTAGAGAGATTGAGAGAGGAAGAAGCTTTAAAGAGCCTCAAGATGGGCCCAAAAATCTTAACCCAAGGACAAACACCTTATGGGATATCTTGTTAACTACAGAGGAAGAAGCATAGAAGTTGGTGGGAAGCATCCTGTCCACGAAGTTCGTTCTCCTACAAACAGAATACTCACTGACAAGAAGAACAAAAATAGTCCTGTCAAGATTAACATATTGGTGGTGTGAGAAAAGCCACTTGGGTTTGACCTTCTGATTGGGATGAATGCGATCAAAGAACTAGGGGGAATAGGAATCACTACTTCAGGTGCAGTGGAGTTCTTTAACAGAAAACCATCCCTGTGTGCAGCTCTCACCATAGAGAAACCAGACTTTAGCGTAAAGTTCAATCAGAAAAAGAAAGTGCAGAAGGTCACTGAGATCATTAGTCCACAATCTGTCCTGAGTGATGCCATGCTGTGTCGTGTTAAAGACCTCCAACTCGCAAGCAACACCAATGATTCATCCACATGTGATGGGGAGTTGGAAATAGATTCCTGGATTTTCGATGTGCCGCCTGCCATGGATAGCGACAACCCTGAGGATGAAGTACCTCCCCCACGCAGTGACAACAATAAAGTTGAAGGAGCACCAGAAGGAAACACCTACCCCTGCATGTTGATGCTGTGATCAGGAGATCAGGGAGAGTGTAACAGAGAATTAGGTCGGCATGATAAAAGACTCTGAGCTGGTTGTATGTGGTGCTGTAATCACCAGAAGTTGCATCCCTTCCCACAATGGGCTGTTGGGAGAAGACCTATTTAGAGTAGGTGACACAGACTATTTGCATATGAACAATACTGGGCAGGTATTAGCCAGTAGTCTATGTGGGTTTAGGACTGGCAGAGCTATATAACACCAGTGTTTTTCTCAGTCAGGAGAAGCACAAACACAACATAATTTTCTTTATTAAAAAGAAAACTTTTCAAAGATGAAATGTACTTTTCTGAAACGTTATTTGAGAAAAAATAGCCGATTTAAAGTAGGTACCTCAACAAGAGGCACATACCATGAGAAAATGTTCCAATTTAATAATAACAAAGTTTTTAGGTACCGCCATAGATTCGCGATTCCTAAGGTTTAGAAAATGAAAATTCTTTCTTGAAGTTTTTAGTTTTAATTCAAAGCTAATAAATAGACTCACGATTACGGGTGCAACAAATAATAATAAAATTTAAAATAATTACGTCTGAAAGTGAAACCTATTACCTGGCAAATGGCAGAAGTTTAAAATTATACATTTTTATTACAGAAAAAAAGTGTATAATTGATCAAACTTCGTAATCGACATCGTGGTAGTAATTTTATAGAGATGCCACAACTGGCTTACTCCTTTGACAGGTTTGTTTTTGGGTTGTTGTTAGCTACTTCTTCGTGAAATGGAAGAGCCGGCTCAGTTGCCCGACCATAAAACGGGCTATGACACCAGTAGCAAGTTAGGACCTAAAATTACTCTAGAAATAAGTAATTTCCAGCTATATTTTATTCTCTTTTAATTCCCCGCTTCGACAGTGAAAGGAACACTAATCTTTTTACATGCCTGTGATTATCAAACAAGTTTAAAAATAAAATACATATGCTTCGAGGGATGTAATTTTAAGGTAATGATGTGTAGCGGGTTCTGATGAAAGATTCTCTTCAATAAGAAAATAATAATTAAATGTGTGACTCTCTAGCAATTATATTTTTAAAAGTTTTTTTTTTACTGTTTTAGTGTTTTTTCGATACTTTGCTTCTCAGTATTTAAGCTTGAAAGTCAAGTACTTTTAACTTTTTCTCACCTTGACTGCAGTGTTCCACAATATCATTAAGTTCTTGAATTTCATCAGCATTTTCCACATCCACTTCTATGTCGTCATGATTTGGCATCTTCATATCATCTTGCTTATCAGCATCTTCGTCACCGTCAGCCATCTTTTCGATCAGCCACGCATTCATAATACGAGCTTTGTGATTGGTTTATGCATTTGGTGTAAGAACCAATTAAATTTGTCATCTGGATATAGCTTCACTTTTCACCACATTGTGAATCCGTAAGAATATATTGGAGGAATTTTTTTGCTGGTAAGTTTTTTTTTGTCATTAGCTTTTACTTTTCTATTGTAATCTAAAAAAAATTGAGTATTGTATATATGCATTTAAATCGTTTATTTGTCCTAAGAACAGGGAAATTAGTTAAGGCTTTTATGTAAAGAAGCGGTACATAATTTTAGTTTAGAATTCTTTTCTTATACTTATCTTTTGTTAAAGTACGTTTGTAAATTTTTATCGTAATGAAGAAATTAATGTAAAAATGTATGTACAAATTGCGTAACAGTAAAAAAAAAAAAAAAAAGCCAAAGTTAGAAATTTATTCCGCCATTTTACATGCAACATAGCTGCTAAATTTTCTAACTTAATAATATATTCTTCGTTTCGACTTTCAACCGTCTTCGAATTGGTAAATTTAAAATTTTGTTATCCAAATGTCTATTGAATTTTCAGTTTCAGGATTAATTTTCTTTACATTCATTGAACTACTTTTTTTATCGACCATTTTACGACCGGTAAAAAAAAAAATAATCTTATGAAAATCTTATCATAAATAACTAAAATAGTATTTTGTATATTGTTTTCACTTTTGATGAACAATATTGGTATATCTAAAATAAGTTTATCGAAATAAATGGCTCGTTCATTGAGAATGGTTAATATTGTATATTTTCAAGCGTTTTTTAAACGGTTAGTTTGTGCTTAATAGTAACTTAACCTATAGCAGTTATTGAAATCGATGTTTTGAACTGGCATTAAATGCCTAATTTAATAATTTCTAATTATTTGCTATTTGATTATAGCCATAGATGGAATTTGATACAAAGGAAATCCAGCGTGCATCATTTTCTTATTTCTGTAATGAACATGGCGGCATATCCTTAAAACTTCAACAGACGCAAGAAATCTTCGTTGAAATAAAAATCCCATCACTTAGTTTTCATTGACTAAATTGAAGTGGTGGGGGGATTACTCTTTATCTTAATAATTAATTAATAATTAAAATGTCGCACTTGGTGTTAAAAAAAAAATCATTAACAAATTTATATTCATTCAATTAATCTTAATCTCCCCTTTTTATCCATGCGTTTCGTTAGTTTCAAAATATTCAATTTTTTTTTTTTTTTAACTGAATTTAATCTTTAAGACCTGGTTTACGCGGTTAACCTTTTTTAAATTAACAAGTTTTTTATTTTATCATATCAGTTTTTACTGAAAAATAAATACTATGTACATCGGCTGCGGGGTTGATTTTTATGTTTTAACATTCCATGTCACGTCAAATATAAAAATCCTTAAAGTCGTAGCTCAATAACTTAAAGTAGATTACATTTGCCGCGTTAGGTAATTTGGATTCTGTTAGTAGTGTTAAGCAATGGCTCCAATATTCTTGATCTTACCTAGAATTTTAAGGGCAGACAATTCCTTCTTTTTTTTTTCTCTCTTCTAACTAATGAAATGACGAAAATGTGCATTGCTGGCCTTCATCTCTCGCTCGTCTTTTCCTCAATAGAAATCCCGGAAGTATTATTAAGCATTCTTAGTTCTTTCTCTCTATGCATACATACAATATTTGAGTTCATATAATAATCTTTAATTGTTCAACTCTGAGACATTTTTATTTTATTTTTAATTTTTTTTACAGAAACTTTGAAATAACTATGGCTGACAATGAGAATGAAAGTGAACTTCTTGATTATGAAGAAGATGACAATGAAACTACTGCTGATGGGGCTGGTGATGGTCCCGCTAAAAAAGATGTTAAGGGAACATATGTATCTATTCACAGTTCAGGTTTCAGGGATTTTCTTTTGAAGCCTGAATTACTCAGAGCCATTGTTGATTGTGGTTTTGAGCATCCTTCAGAAGGTAATTACTTAAAAAATAAAATTTCTTGTTGAATTTTATTGTAGGTACCTCCCGGTTTTTCGATTAAAAAAAAAAAAAAGAGCATAGCATAATGAAAATAGTTTTATCATTAAAATTTTTACTAAGGAAAGATAGTCGTAGGGACCTCCACTGAATTTTCGATACATGAAGTTTAAAATTATTTTTTTAAAATGAATGAAAGCTATTTTGTATGACACATTTGGAAAATCTTAAAATAATTGTTTTTGTTAATTAAACAAACGATTTTTTTTTTTTTTTTTTTTATTACCCCCCATAACTAATTTTTATGAAAACGATAGAAATTCGATTGCATCGGGTTTAGTGATTACAATAAAAGCACAAGGCTTTAAGGAATGCAAATCATGTTTTTTTTGTTTTTTTTTTTCGATTGGGTCCGCACTACCTGAAAATCAACTCTGAATTGTAACATACAAAACTCAATAAAACAGATATACTATTTAATTTCAAATACTTTTATTTGCTTTTATTTGTTTTTATGAATATGGACAATATTTTCTGAAAGCAAAAAAATTTTTCGATGAAAAATGAATTTTTAATACAATTATTTGTTATTTCTTTAATTATAATAGATTTTTACATTTAAGTTGTTAAAAAATTATAAAATTAGTTAAAAGCAACATCAGTTTTCAAAAGTGTCCTTATGAGATTTTTTTTTTAGTGCTTTGTAAATTGTATCATTTTGACTAATCAGAAGACCCGCAGTAATTAAGAAATGTAATTTTGTGTTTATAATCGGGCTGTAATTATAAAAGTACGGAAGACCAACCAGAATACAATTAAGTTGCATTATTTGAGTTAAGCATTGTTCTCCGCTGTTAAGGCCTTTACTTTTGCGAAACACATGTATGGAGAAGTTAATTTGATTTTTCAATTTCAACTGAGAAGGGTACCTATCATCAAGTATCAGTATCATCTTATGAAATTTATATGATCTTATTTTTATATTAATCTCAGTTATGACATTTTTCCATAAATGAAATATCAAAATTAATAATAAAATGAATGGAAATACAAATAACACAGTAAAATGTAATAAATGTACATAAAATTATAGTATTTTATGTACACTTTGATAAAATTTCATAAGAAAGGTACCTATAAATTAATTAGATACTTTTTTCTTATGAAATTTAATCTCACTCTTAACAGTCTTATTTTAATTTCTTTATAATATATTTTCCATAAAGCATCGTAAACGTAAAGGTGAAAGCTAAGTACAAAAAAAAAAAAAAAAAAAAAAAAAAAAATTAGAGCGCTGAAAGTTTTTCCTTAAAAATAACGAGGTAAATAATTTGTTCACTTAAATCTAAATAATTTCACTTTTCTCCTTCCGTAGAACAAATTATCCTCCGTAAGTTATCTAAACAATACATCATTCATTTCGTCACTCGTCAAGTGACGCGAAAGTTTATGACCTGCTTTGTTTTATTTTCAAATTACATTTTTCGGCGCAGAAGCTAAGTTAAGCTTGGTTCAAAATATTTTAAATAAACATTATAATTTCTGATTTTCTTAAAATAAGTTTTGAAAAAATGATAATTGAAAAAGAATTTCAAAGTGAGATTTTCATTTTTTTATAAAATGGAAAAAAAAAAAAAAATGATTGATTATCTGTTTTTTCTGACAAAAAAAAAAAAAAAAAAAAAAATTTTTAACGAAAATTTCGGACGTGCTAGGAATGATTAAAAAATGTAAAAAATACCCCAAAAAATACTTTGATCTTTCCTCTTAATAATAATATAAACATTTAGACGATAAAATTTTGTTTTCGTCAAGTTTGGCGTCTTTTTCATCATGCTATGCTTTTTTTTAGCGATCTCATGGAGGTACCTTTCATTTAATTGTGTTTTAAATGTTTTGAAATTTATTTTGTAAAGTAATTTTTTTTTCTTTTTATTTTTTAGAACTTAAAAATATTCATTGGAATCTCAATTTTTTGTTAAAAAATTTTCTTAAAAGTAGCCATTTATTTAATTTTCATAAAAATTCATTAAACAAAACAAAATTTTGATCGTTTTTTTTAAAATATTTTCATGACAATTTGTAATTTCAGTAAATTTATATTATTTAAATTCATCTGAAAAAACAAATATTATATTAGCATAAAAAAATTAGTATACAAGCAATTGCTTAAAATGGGTTTTTTTTATCTGGTCTCATATATAAGTTAAATATACACTGTGACAACAGCTATGTATGGATGACCAGAATTTTTAAATTTACAAAATCAAAGTTGATTCCATTTTTTTTTTCAAAAATTACCCAATTTTTTTTTGTCAAATTAACATTTTCAGCAATTATCTAATATTTTATTGATTTTAGTTAAATTTGAAGGATTGCCTTTACAAAAAATTTAATAAAATTTATTATTTCAATAAAAAATTTTCTTGTTATTGCCAAAAAAATTAATTTAATTCATATAAAATACCATGAAAATTAAAAAATAAATAATTGAAAAAATTTAACAACAGGGTATTTTAAATTTTATAGTAGTTTAAATTTAAACTAATAAAAAAAATTTTGAAGGGATAATTTGCAAAAGAGTCAAAATAAATTTTGAAGAACTGAATAAGGAATTTTTTAGATGAACACTTAAATAACAAACAATTTTTTCAGAAACCTAAAATTTTGTTTAAAATATTTATTCATAGAGATTGTTTTGCAAGCTTAATTAATTGTTAAAAAATATATATATATATAATTGTATTTTTTTAACCCTCTTCCTTATTAAGGTTATAAGTACTGTCAGCAAAAGTAGATTTTCAAGCATTTTTTTGAACATTTTTTTTAAAAAGAAAAAAAAAATATTAAACATCAGAAAATTTTTGTTTTTGATACATTTAGATATAAAATTACTTAAAAAAATCTATAATTTAAATCAAATGCGTTTTGCCAATTTATTTTATTCTTTTGAAATGAATACAATATTTGGTTTTTAAAAATTGAATTTTTTAATTTGAATCTCCAGCAGCTCAGATATTAAGATTTTAAATAAAAATAATAACATTGCAAGATATTATAAAAATAATTTTTTTTTTCTTTTATCAAAAGAATTAAAAAAAAAACAAATGAATTTTAAAATTTTTCAAAAAAAAAATATAGATTGAATTGGCATGTAAAACTTTTTAAATGATTTGCTATAAAATTCCAGCAATATATACTTTTGGGAATATAAACATGTTAATTTTACTTATCTTTTTCAACACTTTTAAATAAATTTGAAGGCAAATTCCGCAATTTAATCAAACATTTGAAATTGATTACTCAAAATTTTTTAATAACTGTGAATCCAAATCACAAAAAAAAATTTTGGGACACACAAAGAGACCAATAATTTGCATAAAATTTATTTTTATATTTTTTTAATTTTCTTAATTGAACAAAAACCCTAAAAAAAAAAAAAATAAAAAAATTAAAATAAAAATTTTCTTGCAAATAAATTTTATAATGAAACTATAAATTTTTTTATTTTTAATCAATATTACATGAATTAGTAAAAATTTTTCAAATTATTTTTTAAAAAGCTTTTTAATTTTACTTCGAAAGTTAAAATTTAAATTTAAAAATTCAAAAAACATATTTTCTGAAAAAGGAAAAACAAAAAAAACTAATTTATTTGGATTTTTTATTGCAATTTAAAATTTCAGATGGTAAAAATCAATTTTTAAAATAATAAAAAAATCAATTGAAAATATTTTTTTTTTAAAATGATTTTCTTTATTTAAAATTTATGTTTGAAAATTTTTGAAAAAACTTTGAAAATAAACAAAATTTTATTTATGCTAAAATATTTTAAAAATGTTTTAGGTAAACCAAATTATCATAAAATTGTTATTTAGCTAATTACAAAAGAATTTTTTTTATTTACTTTCTAATTTTCAATTTTACAAAAAATTTTTTCCTTCATGAAAAAATTAATATTATAAAAAAGTATTTTTTTTAGATGTGAGAATTTTTGTTTAAAATAAAAAATTGTTAAAGAATAACTTATTAAAATTGACCTCAAAAAAATTTTATTATGAAATTCAATTTGCACACAATCTATAAAAATTGGATCAAAATGGAAATTGATATTCTTGATTCGTCAGAAATATTTACATCTTAAAAAAGCTTTGAAAAAATAAGATCCTTCAAACATGTTATTTTGAACAAAATGATGTGTAAATTTTCTTATTTTTTTTAATTTTAGAACTGTAAAAAATTTAAAAAAATATTTTTTTTTAAAGGATGTAAAACAGCTTTTTAAATACCAACACTGTTATACTTATCAAAACACTAGCAAAAAATCCTTTGCAAAGGAAGAGCAAAATATCTGAAAATAGTAGCAAAAATATCTTAAGAAAAAAAAATTTTCCACTTTCAACCACAAGCCACCATTTCAAAATGTCAAATTTTCAGTTCTTTTTAATTTCTTTTTTAGTTTTCCATACTACCGAAAAATTTTGAAATTATCAAAAAAAAATATCAAACCAAAAAAAATTTTGTTCAATTTTTCTTACAAAATTTTTTGTTTTTCATCAATTTTTTTTTTTGATACAAAATTTTTTTTTGAAATTCCTTAAATTTTTTTTGGTTTAAAATCAATTAAATAAAAAACAAAATGTCTTCAATATTAACATTTATTTGGAATTTTAAAAGAAAGGCATTTGCAAATTTTTAAAAATGATGAAACATCACTCCTGATAAACAAAAAATAAGCATAAAAAGGAATTTTTAAAAGTTCATACAGGAATTGATGGAATTTTTGGCAGGCTGAGATTCTTCATATATTTTTTAATTTGATTTGGGGAAAAAATAACATCCTGATTTAAATAAAAAAAACCACTAAGAACCTTTTAAACTTAAAAAAAAATTATTTCCACTACATTCCTTTTGGGTTTCTGAATGGCATCTTTAAAATAGGTTTTTTATTTATTTTGAAAAAAATATTGAAAAACCTTTTTTTTTTATTTTCTTCCACTGGTCGTTTGAAATATTAAATTAAACTCGAGAGAAAATGAAAAAATTATTCCCTTGAATGGAAAAATATCTCAAGATATTATTAAAATATTTTTTATACAGATAGAAAAATAGTAACTGTAAATTAAATAATTTAAAAAATAAAATATAATTATAGAATTTCATTTAAATTAAGATGTTTATGATGCATTTTTAATTTTCATTTAAAAAGGTCCTGAAAATTTTTGGGGGTTTTAAATTTTTAGAAATAAACTTGAAAAAAATATAAACAAAACATGGATAAAAGTAGAAAAATTTTTGAAGACTGAAAAATAACCACCTAATTTTTTTAAAAATTGTTTATAGTTTAAAGAATCTTAAATGAAATATTAACCAATTTGTTATTTTAATTACCCAGAGAAGAAACATTTTTAATAAAACATTTTTTAATTGGGTATTTTCTACAAATTTATTCTTAAACAGTTTTTTTAATCAACTTGACCTATTTAGATTTTTCATGTTTTTAACACCGGGCAAAAAGTAAATAATATTTGATTGTTACTATTTAAATGCATTTGCACAAAAAAATTTTAATTTGATTTAACCTTTTCTGGGTAGAAAGTTTATAGGTTTCAAAATCAACCTAAAAAATGCTTGTACACTAAATATTTTTAAAAAATATATTGTCTCAAACAATTGTTATTAAATTTTCACAAATTTTGATTCATAGAATTAATTTTCACTTAACACCAATTACCAGATATTACCTTGAAAACAGGGAAGACAATTTAAGTGTTTTGTTTTAAATTATAAATGTTTTAATAAAAATTGAAAAAAAAAAACAAAACAATTTTTAGAAAAAATGAATTATTCATCAAAAAAATTTTCGTATTAATTCAATATATGAACTTAATAAATCTTATTTATTGGTGAAAATTAAGATTTTCTAATTAATGTCATAATTTTATTGCAATTTTTTTATTTTACAATTCAGAGCAGATTTTGGTGAAAGAATATGATTTTTTACAAAAAATTAATTGATTTTTTTTCCAAGGAGCCCTGCTTTTAAATTGAAAAAAAGAAAAGGTCCCCATCCTAAAATTTTATCAATTAAAATTTTTTGAAATAGTAAAAAAAAAAAAAAAATTAAAATGAATTTCTGAATGGCTTGAAAATTATTGATTAAAATCTGACAATTATTTGATTTTGCAAGAATTTCCAAATTAATGTGTTTCACTGATATAATAAAAAAAAAAACTAATAATTATCTGTGGTTTGGCCAGGAATGTAAAACAAAACAAGAATTTAACCTAAATACCTCCGTTTTTTTTTGAAAATCTAATATAGCATGACAAGAACGGTCTGAAAATTAACGAAAAAATTTTTTCATGATAAAAGTATATTTCATTATTGAGAAGAAACACTAAAGTATTTTTGAGTAATTTTGAAATTTTACTCATTCTTAGCATGTCCGAAATTTTAGTTAAAAAACTTGTTTACAGAAAAAAAAAAAGCCTTATCATCAATATATTTTTAAAATTTTAAAAATAAGTTAAATTCTTGTTGGAACATTTAAAATTAACAAAAAATTATATGTATTTCAATATTTATTCAAGAAATTTAGAAAATTTTAAGTTTATTTAAAATTTTTTGAAAGAAACTTTTACTTACTTTCTTAAATAAAAATGTTTTTAAAGAAAAAAGAGCCGATCTTCACGATTTGGAAGATGTTGATTGACAGAGTGCAAGTGATGACATCTATAAATTATTGACAGCTGGCGTGAGATTCGAGTTCCCATACGGAAAAGCACAGAATGGACATATTATTTTTTAAGCGGACATACTTAGTAGTAAATTTGTAATATTTAAAGTAAAAAATTTTTGAATTACAATTTTTTTTGTTAACTACTATAAAACCATAAGTTTGTTGATATTATCTGGAGAAATTATAAATACTATTAAAAAAATTAAAAAATACAAAGTTTGTTGCACTGCTGTTTGAGGGCCCATAGACCCCCTTTAAAAGTCAATTCAGATTTGCTATTAAAAAAAAATTCTATCCCCAGTAAAAATAATCAAACATAGTAAAAATCCAGAAAAACAGCCTATTTCTCAGGAAAAAATAAATAAATGGATTTTTATATTTTCCATTTAAAAAAATTACTTATCTGGAAAAATACCAGGGAAAGTTTATCTGAATCCATGAAACTAGGTATTTTCTGAAAGCAAACATTGTTTCATTTAAAAGTAAAATTGGCCAGTGTAAAATGACTGAAAAGTTTTAGTTTTTAGAGGCAAAATGTGAATCTTGTTTTATAAAACCCAGGTTGTGTGTGGTATTACGTTTATTGGATCAATTTTACATTTTCAATTTTCAACCAAACATTACAGGACTACGATGAAAACTAGTTCAGGGAAAGTACCTATTTTAACTTAAAAAATGATGCATAACGTGTTTCAGCAGGAACAGTTTGCTAAATTAAGGGCCGTATACAGCTTTAAGAACAACCCTTACTAGACAGAAACTCAATCCCGTGATACTATTTTATTGCACGCACCAAACTTCCGGTCTTGGAAAAATTTCATTGAAAACACATTATTAACAAATTAATTTTTTTAATATACGAAGACTCATTAGTTTGTAATAACTTTTTGGAAATTATAATCTGTAAATATATATCTACTTAAAAAACAACATTTTTTAAGCTGTACACGCTTTCCATAATTTTAGAAGAATTAACAACATAATGTAAAAAATAACAATGGTTGCAGAAATAAAATAATTGTAGGTAATTGTTTTAAAAATTGTTTTTTTCATCAAAATATCTTTTTTGCTTTCAGACAATATTGTCCATGTTTATTGGAATAAATAAAAGCAATTAAAAGCTTTTGAAATTAAATAATATTTTGTTTTATTGAGTTTTTTGTATGTTACACTTCAGAGACGATTTTCAGGTAGAAGGGCTCCAACAAAAAAAAAAACAAAACATGATTTTGTTTCCTCAAAGCATTGTGCTTTTAACTGATATAATCACTAAACTCCTAAAATTGAAATTATAGAGTTTTCATTACAATTAGTTAGCATGGGTAAATACATATAAAAAAAAAATTTCTAAGCATGACTTTACTAAAAAAAAATGTATTTATAATAAGTTCCATCATTTGTAAATAGTTTCTGAAAATTTCATTAAAATCCGACAATTATTTTCATTTTGCAAGATTTTCCAAATTAATGTGTCAAAAGGAAAAAAAATTACCAAAATGTTTATCGTTCATTTATCGTTAAGCTGATAAAAGAGAAACAAGGTCTTTTAATCAAAATTTACAATGTTCTAAAAAAGAAGGAAAATTCCAAAAAAATAAGTAAAAAATACTTTGATCTTTCCTCTAAAAAGTAACATAAGCATTTAGATGCGAAAATTTTGTTTTCATCAACTTTGGCGTCTTTTTAATCATGCTATGCTCTTTTTTTAGCGATCCAATGGAGTATCCTAATTTGTCCTTGTAATGTGATTTGAAAGGATTAAAATTCCGGTTTAACATAAAATCTTGATGACTAAATTTGTTTTTTTTAAAAGTTTAGGTAATATTCAAATTTGAAAATCGTTTTACTGAAACAAATTAATTTGTCATTATTAAATCTAAAGAATATTTTTATGACAAATACACCAAAAATTCCTATTTCATAATGTTAAAGTTTACTTTTTAGTCCATTTGATTTTTTTTTCAGTAAAAAGACTAAAACTTTAAAAGTTTATGAAGATTATTTGCAGTTCAATAGTATATATATATATTAAGTCGCGATTTTTTTTTTTTAACTAGGAAGAGATTCGTTCTGGTTTTTTTTTGGTTATGCAAAAGTTTTCTAAGAAATCATTCAGCAAAAACAAACAATTGTTTGAAATTTTAAGAACATACGAGAAAAAATAAAATTAAAAATGTTAAAATGGTTTTTTTTTTTGAAACCAAATTTATTGACGAAGAATGGTAATTAAATTTTAACTATGTTTTGAAAAGCAAAGAAAAACCTTTTCATCAGACAAAAAATTCAGCAAATGTTGAATTAAAACATTTTATTTTTTTATCAAGCATTTGAATTAAAGAATACCGAAAGTGAATTTAACTTAAACATTGTAAACAAAATTTTTTTATTTTTTTTTTTTCTCCACACTTATAACTTTTGTGGCTATTTTTTTTCAAAAAAGGCCAAAATTTAATTTCAAAATAATTTTCATTAATTTTTTTTTTTTTTTTTAATTAAAAAAAAAATTTGTTTCTCAAAAAATGTCCATGGAGTTAGCCAACTTTTAATAATTTAAAATTTTATTTCAATTATTTCAAGTAAAACTTCCTTTCATTTTTAATAAATCGGTAGGTTTCTTTTTTTTTCTTTTTACTTTCTCATAAAATTGATATAGTTCTGTCTTATGTTTTCAATTCTTTCAAGAAGAATCTTTGTCATTTAAAAATAAATTTTTATTTTTTTTTATTTTAGTTCAGCATGAGTGTATCCCGCAGGCCATTTTGTCAATGGATGTATTATGCCAAGCTAAATCCAAATGGGCAAAAACTGCATATTTGTGCTGGCTAGACCCAGAAACTAGAGCCAGTGGATGAACAGATGTAAATAGGGAAGTGATTTTTTTTTTTTTTTTTTAAGACTTATACTCAATACAATCTCAAGTGAAACCTAAAAGTATCCATTTTCAATGTTCTTAAAAATGGTTGATTCCCTTTACTGCAATTCTAAATAAATCATTTTTCCTACATCTTCTATTCTTTTTAAGAGCCAGATCAGAACAAAAATGGAAGCTGTATAATTTATGGACAGGTGCTGTTTTTCTTTTCCTCGATAAAACCTGAGAGTGTCTTGTCCTGTGGGGGTAACACTCCATCCTGCAGCCCCTTTCAGATAAGAAGATGTAAAGGTTTTCTAAATATAATAATAATTGAAATAGGAGTTTTTATTTGATGAACTCCATCAAGAAAGATCCAATAGTTTGAAATCAAAACTAGGATCCCTGTGCTTTGCATTGTTGGAACTCCTCATCCTATTCTGTTCCTTGACAAGAAACGGCAGTCCCATTGGTCCTCAAACATGTGAAACATTTCATCCTTGATGAGTGGAGGATGTTGAATGATTGGGTGCGGTGTTGGCCTGTTTTGGTTTGATGTTATTTTCAGACAATAACATCATCAGCATTTTATACATAATTATCTAGATTTTAATAAAAAAAAAAAAGTTTTTCATAAACAGCAAAAATCTTTGCTTTTTAACTCAGATTTTTACCATTCTTGCTTAAAATAAATAAATATTTTAGCTGTTACAATACAAATAAAAACTTTGAAATTATCCTATCCCATACTAAAACTTTTGCTACACACAGTTACATTAATTGGATATTGGGTGTCAGTCAGTAAATGCTCTTCTGATTATTGAATCTTATGACAAATAAATGTAAAGTAAAAATTAACTTCATATTTGTGCTTTAAGATTTTATGAAAATGACGCACTATTTGGAAAATCTTATTTTTCTTAATTTTTGCTCATTTTGTTATAACAGCTATTCAGTAATTTCATTTTAATTTTTAAATTTTATATTTCAGATATGCGGAAAGATGTTCAAGAAATATTCCGTAATACTCCACATGAGAAGCAGGTTATGATGTTCAGTGCTACACTGAGCAAAGAGATTCGTCCAGTTTGCAAGAAGTTTATGCAAGATGTAATTATTCCCAATTCTTCTTCTAAGTGCATCTGTGCACACATAAGTGCTAAGCAAAACAGCTTGTGGCCACCAATCACTTAATGAAGATGGAGTAGAATCCCTGAGAATACTACTTTAAAATAATTCAGCTTAATTAGGGCATTTAGGCAGTTTGAGAATATTATGAAAATGCCAAATGCAGGCTTCAAGAAGCTTCTCCTGGAATATTTTCCTTAAGTTCAAAGCTTTTAATATTTCAATTTAAAAAAACCATCTCACTAGCTTTCAAGAAATATTCCATATATTACAGAAAATATCTATCGGATATGTTTTTCTTTATTTTCATTTTTTTTTATTTATTTTTTTACTTTTTTTTATTTTTTTTACTTTTTTTTTAATTAGTTTCATATGTCAACATTGGAGGCACACAAATACCCTGAACTCTCAAAGTGATGGGCAAAGTGTGACTCTACAATTGTTTCTCTTCAATACCTTTTAGCTTTTACATATTTCGAAATAATTAGATCTCTGGCCACACCAGTTACTATCACTTGGGAATTTTTGCTGTTGTGGATGCACAGAATCTCTGCTCTCTTTGTCCAATCTCTGCCTGGCTGTCCTGAAATAACCTCCATCAATTGAAGTGGTAATAGGTTGAAGCTTCTACTTGATCTGTGAAGACCATTTCACCCTCTTCCTTGATTGAAATTCTAAACGTGTTGGATGAATTTTGAGGAAAGAAAGCAACACTAACCAAGTATGGTCAACACCAAGTGGAATGGACCCATTCCTGCTGCTGACAATTTTTGCTGCTAACTTTTTCTTTTTTTTCTTTTTTCATTGGAACTGTTCTTAAAACTAATTTAGGGTTAAGATCTCTTATCTGAAAACCATTTCATTACGCACATGCATGCGCTTGCCACACACACACACACACACACACACACACACATATATATATATATATATATATATATATATATATACACACACTTAAATTATTTGATTCATTTAACTATTTTCAATTCATATTGTATGGCATAGTTGGATAACTTCATAACAATTTTCTTTCCTCTCCCTTTGTCTTTACCAATTATTCTAAGGTTAAACTGTTTTTTTTTTTTTTTTTAATCTTTCTTTCTATCTCTTTAACTTGATTTTCAACCCAGTGGGAGGTAAATTTCTTTTTTTTTTTTTTTTTTCTAATTAAAGTTTTTATATAAAGTCATAGATAAGATTTGTAACACATTTTTATAATTCATGAAGAACAGTTCCAACTTGGTTGTTAAATGTGAACAAATAGCAAACTCTGTTATTTATAATTTCAGCCTATGGAAGTGTATGTTGATGATGATTCAAAGCTTACCTTGCATGGATTGCAGCAACATTATGTTAAACTGAAAGACAATGAAAAGAACCGAAAATTGTTTGAATTGTTGGATGTTCTTGAATTCAATCAGGTATTGATATGTAACCTGTTGGATACAATGGTGATAGTTTCTTGTATTTGGTATATTTAAGTGGATTAAAGTTAAGTTGGATATTAGCATACACACATACATTTGCTGATGGTTTCAATATACTTATTGTTGGTATGTGGATTTTTTTTCTTTGATAACTTGAAAGGAAACAAGTTATACAATGTTGACTGTTCCCTTCTCCAATAGTTTGAGTGTCAACTTGGAATTCATTGGCATATTTATTTCATAATTTTAATAAATTTGATTAAAATAATCTAATATTAAATTTTGTACCCTAATGTTTATAAAACTCCATGTAGTTTGTACACTTTTAGATTTTTACTTATTTTTCTTTTGCTTTACACATTGGGCACTCAGGATGTGCGAGTTGAAGATTGAAATATAAGAACTCCATTTTTTTTTTTTTTTTTTTTTTTTTTTTTTTTTTTTAATTGCTATTCCAGGTAATAATATTTGTCAAGTCTGTTCAACGATGTATGGCATTGGCTCAGTTGTTGGTGGAGCAGAATTTCCCTGCAATAGCAATTCATCGGGCAATGACCCAAGAAGAAAGGTAAGTTAATCATTACATCTTTTCTTTTGTATTGATAACATTCTGCTGTTAGTGTTGCAAAGGTGCCAAACATTCAGAAACTCTGAGTATCAAATTTAAAAACGTGTGCTAATAAATTTAAATCACTTTTCTCATTTATAGATTATCTCGTTACCAACAATTTAAAGATTTTCAGAAGAGGATTTTAGTTGCTACCAATCTTTTTGGTCGTGGTATGGATATTGAGAGAGTTAACATTGTATTCAATTATGATATGCCAGATGACTCTGACACCTACCTCCACCGGGTAAGTTGTTACTTTCACAAAAATCAGTTTTACAGATTTAATGTACATTGTTTTCATGCTTTAAGTATTTTACATGAAAATGTCTTGATAGGTTGCCCGTGCTGGCAGATTTGGAACTAAAGGCCTGGCTATAACTTTTGTGTCTGATGAAAATGATGCAAAAGTTTTAAATGATGTCCAAGACAGATTTGAAGTCAACATTACCGAGCTGCCTGATGAAATTGATATATCTTCATACAGTAAGTTGGCTTATTTATAAACTGAGGAACTTTACTAGAATTTAGTAAAAGCTCTTTAAATTTGTATGTGGTAGACTTGAAAACATTTCCAATTACTCATTTTCTGCAAGTAATTGGAAAGACAGTTGATATGCTTTCTGAACAATCAATCATTGGAGAAAATGTGTACAATATTTGGACAAAGTTACATATGTCAATTCCTAGACATTTTGCTATGGGATAGAATAATTTGAATTGTTGGATATAAAGAGGAATCACTTTATGAATTTATTTTAACTCTCCAAATTATTTCTTGGATACAGTGAATCATTAATTTTTCATTTACTTAATGTGAAAGAATCTGAAGATCACTAGATAACATTAGCCATTTGCATTCAACATGCTCAAACCTGCCTTGTAAATATTGCCTCTCAAAATCTCATTGCTTGCATGACTTGTTAGTTGTGATGATACTTTGACCATATAAATGGAGCCAATATTTATGATGCAGGTTGAATGCCAGAGAGTAATCATAATCACCACTGTCTGAGTATGGACATTTAGGACAAGTCAAATGAATTTTAATAACTTTCATTGTTAAACTTTTGCTTTTTACCAAAGTGTTTATAAAACATTTTTCTATTCATATTTAATTTTAAAAAAATTTCATTTATTTTTCAGTTGAAGGCAGATAAACAACTTCTATGGCTGTATGGAAGAAGTGTGTGAATGAGAGATGGAATTCATTCTGAAGCTGTGAGAGGAAAAACAACCATTAACATCATCCATTTTTAAAGTGTACCAGTTCCTATGCAATATAACTTTTACTCTTTCACTTGTTTGTGGTTTTTATTTTTGCTTTTATTTTTTTTTTCTCTCTCTCTCTCTCTCTCAATCAT